TGCACATAGCCGCTCAACGCGACTACGAGCTTCACTCTCTTGACTTCAGCACAGCTTTCCTGCAGGGCAGCTTGCACGAGGAGATCTGGCAGCGCCGCCCACCTGGCTTCACTGGGTCGTTTCTTCTGGTACCCAGTGGAGCCTCCGGCAGCCAGTCTACGGTCTCCGCCAGGCGCCTCGTGAGTGGCACGACACACTGAGGACTACACTTGCGGCTCTTGGGTTTGCTCCGTCTACTGCCAACCCGTCGCTGTTTCTACGCACCGACACCTCTTTGCCGCCGTTTTACATCCTCGTGTACGTCAACGACTTGGTCTTTCCCACTGCTGAAACCGCTGGACTCGCCCACGTGAATTCCGAGCTGCAGAAGAGACACAAGTGCACAGACCTGGGTGAACTGCGCAGCTACCTTGGCTTGCAGATCACCCGGGACAGAGCACAGCGCACCATTACCCTGACTCAGTCACACATGGTGCAGCAGGTCCTTCAGCGCTTCGACTTCACGTACTCCTCGCCTCAGGCCACTCCTCTGTCTACTCGCCACTCGCTCTCAGCTCTGCCTTCGGATGAGTCCGTAGAGCCGAGTGGCCTGTACCCAGAGCTTGTTGGCTGCCTCATGTACCTGATGACCTGCACACGACCTGACCTTGCATACCCTCTTAGCATCTTGGCACGCTATGTTGCTCCTAGGAGGCACCGACCAGAGCACATGGCTGCAGCGAAGAGGGTGTTGTGCTACTTGTGCAGTACGTCGGGCATGGGGCTAGTGCTTGGAGGGCGATGTCGAGTGGTCCTCACAGGTCATGCAAACGCTTCTTGGGCTGACCACCAGGCTACGCAGCGGTCGTCACAGGGTTACACCTTCAGCCTTGGTTCCGGCTCTGTTTCGTGGCGGTCTACCCGCTCGTCTTCAGTTCTCGGCTCCAGCTGTGAGGCTGAGATCTACGCGGGAGCCATGGCTGCACAGGAGCTACGCTGGCTCACCTACCTGCTGACTGACCTAGGAGAGCCGCCTCGTTCTCCTCCTGTTCTGTACGTAGACAACAAGGCCATGCTGGCCTTGTGTTGGGAGCACAGACTGGAGCACAGAACGAAGCACATTGCTCTTCGCTACTTCCTTGCTCGTGAGCTGCAGCAGCGTGGTCAGCTGCGCCTTGCTTACGTGGCCTCTGAGGCCAACACTGCTGATATCTTTACCAAGGCACTTCCGCCTGGTGATCATCAGCGCTTCTGTACGATGCTAGGTCTTGTGCCTACTTGGCCTCACTTGCTCACTTCTTGACCTTGCTTGTACTGTGATCTTTCTATACCTGCACTTGCCTGTTTACCTTTATATATGATCTTTCATGTGGACTGGCGTTGTGGCCTTGCTCTTGTGCTCGGATTGTGTGGTGACGTTGTCAAGATACTAGCAATGGGTAGGCTTAGGAGCCATGGTTGAGTTCGAGTAAATTTAGGAGAGTCGAGAAATTGGAAGAGAAGAAGTGGTTTCACTATAGAGCGAGCAGTACATATAGGCAAAATGAAAGGTGCACCACCAAAACAGAACATTGTATAACTACAGTAATCTACACTACAGGCAGTTACAAAACAATATATAAAACTATATATTATTCTGACACGCCCCCATAAGTGCCTGTAGGGAAGAATGTGCAGTCAACGCCCCCATAATGGGGTACACCAAGAGTGCGTAGCAGTACGGGAGAGGGCAGGCAAGGAGGAGGAGAGAGAGAGAGGGAGAGAGAGGAGAGGAGGTGATAGGCTCTGGTTGGTCACCACATACATCCCCTCATCCTCCCCCTCCCCCTCCCCCTCCCCCTGCTGCAGGAGCAGCAGAGGGGGGGGACAAACAGAGGAGAATGGAGCCGTAGGGCCAGGGGACCACACTCACCCATCACCCCCACACCCGCCACCCCCAGTCCCTCCCCGGGCTCCCCACACTCTCACACCCTCCCCCCCAGCGGCAGCTGCAGCAGAGGGAACAAAAGGAGGAGGAGAAAGGGGTTGGGGGGGGAAGGGGGGGGGGGGGGGGGGGGGGGCGACGCACGGCCTCCCCGGGCGCCAAAGCAAGCGGCAGAGGGGGCGACGACTCCCCCCCCCTTTCAGGTCGCCCTTCCCGTCACCTGTCGAGGCGACCTGAGGGGGCCGCGTGCGGCCCCCAAAGGAGCCGCGACGGGTGACGGGAAAAGGGGGGGGGGGGCGGTGCACGTGCCCCCGGTGTGCCGCGGCTGGCGATAGGGCATGGCCGGGGCGGGGTCGGGGCCGCAAGAGGGCGGGGCCGCAGGTGGCATCGGGGCCTGGGGCGGGTACCGCACGGGCGGCGACGGGCCGGGACGGGCGGCGACGGGCCGGTACGGGCGGCGACGGGGCCGCAGCGGACGGCGGCGCGTCGTACGCGCGGTACGTGACGCCGCGAAGGGCGGCGACGGGCTGGTACGGGCGGCGAGTAGGCCGCAGGTAGGGCGGCGGGACGGCCGCAGGTAGGGCGGCGGGTGGGCCGCGACGGAGTGGCGGGGCCGCTCGAAGGAGTGGCGGGGCCGCGACGAAGTGGCGGGGCCGCGCGAAGGGGAGGTGGGGCCGCGACTAAGTGGCGGGGCCGCTCAAGGGGTGGCGGGGCCGCGACGAAGTGGCGGGGCCGCTCGAAGGGAATAAGGGGCACGCCACGGGGCGTGCCAAACACAGAGTAGCAGCGGAAGCTTTAAAGTGGGGCCCACAGGTCAGGACCTTGTCACTCTGATAGCATGTCAAGATACTAGCAATGGGTAGGCTTAGGAGCCATGGTTGAGTTCGAGTAAATTTAGGAGAGTCGAGAAATTGGAAGAGAAGAAGTGGTTTCACTATAGAGCGAGCAGTACATATAGGCAAAATGAAAGGTGCACCACCAAAACAGAACATTGTATAACTACAGTAATCTACACTACAGGCAGTTACAAAACAATATATAAAACTATATATTATTCTGACAGACGTTGTGATCCACCCTGAGCTTGCTTTACTTTGCTTGATTGGTCTTGTGACCTCTTGTTCTCCCCCACTTTGCCTATGGGGGTGTGTCAAACTCATATCATATAGCTTTTCTAGGCTATAGTGGGGTAGACACTATGGGGTACAATTTCCTAGGGTTTCCTACTTGTACCCAACCTTGTGCTAGTTCATTCATTCCTCATTTCTTAATAAAGCTGGCTCAGTTACCCTGCTTCTCCTTGTTATGCGACAACCAGTCGGCAATTTGCATAGCCAACAAAAATGGATTCGCGAATAGGACGAAGCATATCGCCTTGCGATATTTCTTCGTGAAGAACGAGATCGAGAAGGGGAGACTCGAGCTGTCTTACTGCCCCACTTCTGAGATGGCAGCAGAAGTTTGAGTGTTGCATGCTGCTGACTCGACAGAGCCACGTCACCAGCAGCGACACTCCAGAAGCGAAGGGGAGTGTTGGAAACAAGTTAAAGCGCCTCTGTCGCGTCGAAGCACTTACTTATAAGCGAAGCGAAACACAGCGAAGCATCAGCGAGTCAACCCTCGGAGGTTGAACAACTGCTGGAGGTTATGCGGAAGTCAAAGGTCAGCGCCCTTTGACCTGACAAGTACAGCGCGACAGCAAGGACAAACAACTGACTCGTTATTGAGCAGTTGCCCGCGTCGTCACTGTATCGAACCGCAACAGCAACAACAAAACAGTTATTAGTTATAACCCTTCATATTCCCTCGTACTCCTATAAAAGCTTGTATCTCTTTGTTTTAATTAATCTACTTTGCCCTCACATACCAGCGCAAGGTGGTTCACAAACCTTTCATTAAACGCTTCCGCTATTACATTGTCCTACTCAAAGTTTAGTCCTGCAAAGATCCTACGGGCTTTCTCAGCCCAACAGGTAGTTCATGCAGGCATGTTCGATGTCTACCAGGGCCTCAGAAGTCAGCGAAAAATGGCTGATTTAGGGTCTGGACGCTGATTTCCCAGACTTGTGGCTGATGTGTTGGCTGATAATTCAGTTTTTTTTTTTAAGTGTTGGCTGATTGTTCAGGTTTTTTTTTAATGTATTGGCTGATTTTCCAGCGTTTTTTTACCAGTGTTGGCTGATTTATTAACGAGACTGTAGGCTGAACTCTCACGCTATTACAGATTCGTGCCAGAGCCGTGAGTTTCGGCTGTCCAGGTACATCCACCTGTCAATCACGCAAAAGTCACCATGTACAGCGCCGACGCGGGGGAAAACGAATTTCCCCGACGCGTCGGTGCTTCGTTGTCACCGACAGAATGCTTTAATTGATGTGATTGGTTGTCACATCCCTTATGCGCCAATCACCCACCACCAGTGCAGCACAGCAACGCACCGCACGCACTCACGACAAGGACACCCACCTCACCCCATCTCACCCACCCCGAACCTGCATCCATGTGCGTGCCCTAAACATAGAACCAATCCAGTTCAGCCTGCGTTTTTTAGTGAGGCTGATTAGTCAGCGTTTTTTTTTGTGACTTGTCTGAAATTTCAGTTTTTATTTTTTAACCAACTCTGATTGATCAGCCCAGCATAGCCTGCTAAGGCTGACGTATCAGCCAAGCTAAAAACGAATCTGAGGCCCTGATGTCTACGTTGTATCATTACATAGTGAAACAACCAAGTTGTTATCAAACAGTGCAACAAGGTGTTACCCTGGCGTGACCAGGGTGATTTATAAAAAAAAAAAAAAAAAAAAAAAAAAAAAAAAAAAAAAAAAAAAAAAAACTGACTTAAAACCTTTTTGAGAAAGGGCATTAAAAATATCACCCTAGCCATGGACCAAACATGTGCCCTACAACCAATTAGAGTGTGTTCCTTGTATTGCGCGAGAAGAAACAGTTGGAAGAATCAACAGCTGGAATAGTGGCTGATGGGATGACGGGAGTGGCTGATGGCATGGCGGGAGTTGCTGATGGGTGCTTTCACAGGCATGATGGGAATGTGCGGTCACGGGAGCGATCAGATGTTTTGTCACAGCTACTGAGGGCACCTTACCTGTTGAGGGGAAAAACAAATAATTAGACAGAGAGGCAAGAGATGAAGTGAGAGGTCCATGGGATGGAATCAGAATACAAGAGATGGCAGCAGTACAATGGGTCAATTCAGCATTGATTCCTCAACAAGCAAACCTCACACGCGTGGAACTTGAAGGAGGGGTGGAACTTACAAAGGAAAATCGGGGTCGGGTACGCCGCTACAATATGGATCCCCATTGTAGAAATTCAACTCGCAAGTCTGTCCCGGAGCACAACCATAGTAATAGCACCGATCTGGGAAGGAGTTGGGGTGAGAGAAGACGAATAGTGGGACTAGGACTCGATTGGGAGTTAACACACAGACACACGAGTAGTGGGACCACAGGTGGGTGGATGTAGAAAGAAACATGTCGTGTAACAGCTGAGTAGGACAGCTGTAAGACACCAAACGGAGATAGGATTGAACAAAAACTGAGATTCAAGAGGGGCAAGTGGGAGACTGAACAAGAAACGAGATCATAAAAGAGGGATGCACAAGGAGGTGTGGGAACTCTGCGACAGCAGGAGCTACCATCACACGATAGAGGCAGCACAACTGCACACATCTTACACACTAGATCACAGCTGCACTGACTAGAACACAAGGGCTATGACAAGAAACACACAGCAGCCAAGGAACACACATGCACAGCAATCAGCACCTACCAACGCAGGTTCCAGGATTCTGCCAGTCATCCTCATAACCCTTGTCACAAACACAAGTCGCCACTGCAGTAGTGGTGTCACAGTGCATGTTCGCACCACAGAGCGGATTGCATGGCGCTGGGTGGGGGTAGAGGCGACGGACAGGGGAGAGGGGTGGAGAGGACGAGAAATGAGGGGTGGTGGGGTTCAAGATTGAAACAACAAGATACTTTAAACGAGATGTTGGGAACACATGAGTGGTGAAGCCATTGGCACTGGAGGCAGCACAGCAGCACTTGAAGCTAGCATCACCCACCATGCGATGGAGGTTGGAGAGGAGACATGAATTTAAGACAGGAGCAAAGCAGCAGCACAGAGTAGCGAACAGAACCACATAGAGCAGCACACAGCAGTTCTTCCTGTCATATACCATCGCACGTCTTGCCATCCGTCTGCAGCGTAAAGCCATTGTCACACACACAGGACGCTGCTCCAGTAGTGGCATCCTTGATGCACTGGCCGTTCGCACTACAGTCCTTGATCTTGCAGGTGTCTGGGTGGGAGGAGAGGCAGAGAGAAAGGGAGTGGGGTGGAGGGGACACGAAATTACGAGGAATCACAGCAGCACTAAGAGTAGCGAATGGAACTACACAGAATAAAAGTCGCCCACAGCAGTACTTTCACATACCTTTGCACGTCTTGCCATCTGCCTGCAGCACAAAGCCAGTGTCACACACACAGGACGCTGCTCCAGTGGTGGTGTCCTTGATGCACTGGCCGTCTACACTACAGTCCTGGATCTTGCAGGTGTCTGGGTGGAAGGAGATGCAGAAAGAATGGGAGAGGGGTGGAGGGGACATGATTTCAAGAGGAATCACAGCAGCACTCAGAGTAGCGAATGGAACCACATAGAATAAAGTAGCACACAGCAGTTCTTTCACTTTCACATACCTTTGCACGTCTTGCCATCTGCCTGCAGCACAAAGCCAGTGTCACACACACAGGACGCTGCTCCAGTGGTGGCGTCCTTGATGCACTGGCCGTCTGCACTACAGTCCTGGATCTTGCAGGTGTCTGGGTGGAAGGAGATGCAGAGAGAATGGGAGAGGGGTGGAGGGGACATGATTTCAAGAGGAATCACAGCATCACTCAAGAGTAGCGAATGGAACCACATAGAATAAAGTAGCACACAGCAGTTCTTTCACTTTCACATACCTTTGCACGTCTTGCCATCTGCCTGCAGCACAAAGCCAGTGTCACACACACAGGACGCTGCTCCAGTGGTGGCGTCCTTGATGCACTGGCCGTCTGCACTACAGTCCTGGATCTTGCAGGTGTCTGGGTGGGAGAGGCAAACAGAAAGGGAGAGGGGTGGAGGGAAAAGTAGGGCGAATAAAGAGTTTGTGAGACTCCACACACACACCCTTGCACAGGTTGTGTTGCACTTTACAGCACGACACACCCTTGCAAGAATTCATGCAGTCATGCACTCTACCTTGTTTACCGATGCATGCGGGATTCAGCACACATGCGGGATTCAGCACACCTGAGTGCATGCGGGATTCAGCACACCTGAGTGCATGGCACATGGCAAAAGGCGTGGCACCTACCGGTGCATGTGACGCCATCAGCCTGCAGCACGAAGCCAGTGTCACACACACAGGACGCCACTCCAGCACTGTCCTTGATGCACTTGCCGTTGACGCCACACGCCTTGAGCACGCATGTGTCTGGGGAAGAGGAGACAGAGGGGAAGAGGAGACAGAGGGGAAGAGGAGACAGAGGGGAAGAGGAGACAGAGGGGAAGAGGAGACAGAGGGGAAGAGGAGACAGAGGGGAAGAGGAGACAGAGGGGAAGAGGAGACAGAGGGGAAGAGGAGACAGAGGGGAAGAGGAGACAGAGGGGAAGAGGAGACAGAGGGGAAGAGGAGACAGAGGGGAAGAGGAGACAGAGGGGAAGAGGAGACAGAGGGGAAGAGGAGACAGAGGGGAAGAGGAGACAGAGGGGAAGAGGAGACAGAGGGGAAGAGGAGACAGAGGGGGAGAGGAGACAGAGGGGAAGAGGAGACAGAGGGGGAGAGGAGACAGAGGGGAAGAGGAGACAGAGGGGAACAGGAGACAGAGGGGAAGAGGAGACAGAGGGGAAGAGGAGACAGAGGGGAAGAGGAGACAGAGGGGAGGGAGTTGGGCGAGCGAGGTGGGGTTGGGCAAATGAGGGTAGACAAAGGATATGGGAAAGGACTGCCCACATGAGAAACCTCCCTCGACACGCTCTGACACGACTCCGGGCACCTAACAATGCTCGGCGCTTGACAGCAGGGCACATGGCATATCACAAGGCGTCGCTAATTGCATTGCACTGCATCACGCATTGCGTTGAACAAGGCATGGCACACTGCATAGCACTACACACATGGCACACAAGCCATCGCGTACTAGGCAGTGGACATGGCTATGGCATGGCCCATACCGGTGCATGTAACCTTGTCACCCTGCAGCACCAAGCCAGTGTTGCACACGCAGGACGCTACCCCTGCACTGTCCTTGATGCACGTGCTGTTGCTGCCACACGCCTTGAGCACGCATGTGTCTGGCGACGAGGAGACTGAGGGGAGGGAGTTGGGCGGACAGGGTGAGGTTGAGAGGATGAGGGTAGACAATGGATATGGGAGAGACTGCCACACAAGACTGCCCACAGGACAGTAGCACACAGCAGTTTCAGCACGTACCAGTGCACGTCTTGCCATCCGCCTGCAGCACAAAGCCAGTGTCACACACACAGGACGCTGCTCCAGTGGTGGCGTCCTTGATGCACCGGCCGTTCGCACCACAGTTCTTGATCGTGCAGGTGTCTGGGTGGGAGGAGCGATGGGGGAGGGGAGTGAGGAGTGGAGGAAATGGGCGAGGATTGTGGAAAGGGACGTGACGAGGGAGAGAGTAATGAAGCGGGGTGTGAGAGAAGACGTGCACACAAGGAGTACGGACGGAGGGAGGGAAGGAGTATGCATGGAGGGAGGGAAGGAGGGAGGAAAGTAGGGAGGGACAGAGGGAGGGAAGTGGGAGAAGGGAGAGAGGGAGAGATTGACTGTAAACAGAGGTCTAGTGGGAGAGAAACAGAAACGATATGGCTAATCGGAAAGATGCTGCGTACCAGTGCAAGCGCCGTTCACCATCTGGAAGCCCGTTTTGCAAACACAGGATGCAACGCCTTGAGCGTCCTTTACACAATTCGCATTGGCACCACAGTTCTTGATGACGCACGTATCTGAAAGGTAAGTGGCACGAAAGCAAAAGCGATGAGAACAGGAGGGGGGAGGAGGGAGTGAGGGAAGGAGGGAGTGGAGGGTGGGAAGGAGTGTAGGCACGGAGGCATGGCACTTGACGGCATGATTTATGGCATGGCACATGGCATTTCACAAGGCATGGCATAACCATAGCACATGACGTCATATGACAAGGCGTGGCACATTTCGTAGCACCAGGCATGGCGTGTTGCACAGGACAGTGGACAATTCATCGTGTACATGGCACATGGCATGGCACGTACCGGTGCATGTTATCTTGTCAGCTTGCAGCACGAAGCCAGCGTTGCACACGCAGGACGCCACTCCAGCAACATTCTTGCTGCACGTGCCGTTGCCGCCACACCCTTTGGAAACGCATGTGTCTGGGCGAGTGGTTGCGTGGGGGGGAGAGTGAGGTGAGAGGGAAAAGTTACATAACTCACAGCACCACTCACTTGATAAGCAGAAGCACAAGACTGGTATGCCTTTGTCATCAACTGCTGGCGCGAATCAGCATGGCACTTGCAATAGCCCACGTTGAAGCACAAGACGGCATAGCCCATGGCATGGCACATGGCATCTCACAAGGCGTGGCGTGGCACTTACCGGTGCATCTGTGATGCCATCAGTCTGCAGTGCGAAGCCAGTGTCACACACACACACACACACACAGACTCACATAATGAGTCACAACGCAAACCACGAACGCACCAGTGCATATGCCCGCTGCCATGGCGTATCCATTCTTGCACAAGCAGGTCACAAGGTTCCCTTCCTTGTCGCAATAGGAATTGGCATCGGAGCCTTCGCAGTTCTTGATGGTACAGACATCTGAGAGAAGGGGGCGGACCGGATCGAACGAGAAAGTATATCTTCAAGTTGGTCCTTGAGAACAATGAGAGTAGTGGAATGGAACTACAGCGCAGAACGGATTCAGCACAGCATGGATTCGCCACAGAGTGGATTCAGCACAGCGTGGATTCAGCACAGCATGGATTCAGCACGTACCAGTGCACGTCTTGCCATCCGCCTGCAGCACAAAGCCAGTGTCACACACGCAGGACGCCGCTCCAGCACTGTCCTTGGTGCACTTGCCGTTGCTGCCACACGCCTTGAGCGTGCATGTGTCTGGGGATGAGGGGACAGAGGGGAGGGAGTTAGGCGAGCGAGGGGGGTTTGAGCAAATGAGGGTAGACAAAGGATTGCTAGATATGGGAAAGGACTGCTCACTTGACAAGCCTCGACACGCTCTGACAGGGCTACGGGCACCTGACAATGCATCAGTATGGCACTTGACATGACAGCATGGTACATGGCATATCACAAGGCATGGCACATGGTAAACGACAGGGCGTCACACATTGCATTGCACTGCATGGCGCATGGCATCGTACCGTTCAAGGCATGGCACCTTGCAATGCATTGCATGGCACAAGGCAGGCATCGCCTACATGGCAGGGAACATGGCGTATGGCCATGGCACGGCACACACCAGCACATGTAGTCTTGTCAGCCTGCAGCACAAAGCCAGTGTTGCACACGCAGGACGCCACTCCAGCACTGTCCTTGACGCACTTGCTGTTGCTGCCACACGCCTTGAGCGAGCATGCGTCTGGGGAAAGGGGGGGAGAGGAGAGAGAGTTGCGCGAGTGAGGGGACACTGAGAATGGGTCGATATGGGAAATTACTGCGCAGGGACAAGCCTCGACACGCTCTGCTCTGACTGACAGGGCTCCTGGCACCTGACAATGCATCAGCATGCCACTTAACGACGGCATGGTCCATGGCATATCAGAAGGAATACATGACATAGCACAGGGCACATGGCATATCCCATGGCATGGCACATGGGATCTCTAAGCCGTGGCACCTACCGGTGCATGTGACGCCATCAGCCTGCAGTGCGAAGCCAGTGTCACACATACAGGACGCCACTCCAGCACTGTCCTTGGTGCACTTGCCGTTGCTGCCACACGCCTTGAGCGCGCATGTGTCTGGAGAAAGGGGGGGAGAGGAGAGGGAGTTGCGCGAGTGAGGGGACACTGAGAATGGGTCGATATGGAAAGTACTGACAAGCCATGACACGCTATGACACTGATAACACGGTCCATGCCATAGCACAAGTCATGGAACATGGCATGGCACATGGCATGACACAAGGCATCGCCTACATGCCAGAGGACATGGCACATGGCATGGCACATACTGGTGCAAGTGACGCCATCAGGTTGCAGTGCGAAGCCAGTGTCACACACACAGGACGCCACTCCTGCAGCGCTCTTCACGCACTTGGATTTACCAACACACTTCTTGAGCACACAAGTGTCTGCCAAGGAAGGGTACGAGGCATACTTGTGAGTGGGGAGCGCAAGTGCTGCGTAATAGGTGACATGTGCGTTAAGGACCGAAGCAGTGAGCTGATTCATGCATGTGGGTGAAAGCTGGGAAGTGGAAGCGTTGTGAATAGGAAGAGCACCCTGTACGAAAGAAGTTAGGAAACACATGCACTCGTGACAGTGACAGATAAGCGTCGGAATAAAGCAGGGGGGACGAAAGCACAGCATCACAACAGCACATACGCACCGCTGCATGTAGTCTTGTCAGCCTGCAGCACAAAGCCAGCGTCACACACGCAGGACGCCACTCCAGCACTGTCCTTGATGCACTTGCCGTTGACGCCACACGCCTTGAGCACGCATGGGTCTGGTGAAAAGGGGCAGAGGGGAGGGGGTTGGGCGAGTGAGCGGATATTGAAAACAACAGATGAAGGAAATCTCTGCCAACGTGACAAACCTCAATATGAAGTCATGAAGCTCTAACAGAGCTGCACTTACCACCACAGCACTCACCAACACAGCAGCACTCACCACCGCAGCACTCACCAACACAGCAGCACTCACCACCGCAGCACTCACCAGCAGCAACACAGCCGGTGGGGGTCATGGAGAATCCAACGTTGCAGACGCATCTGGCACTGCCTTTCTCCTTAACGCACACCGCATTGGCGCCACACTTTTTCGCCACACACGGGTCTGCCGGAGGCTTATCTACGTGACCATAAGGAAGGAACAGAGAGGAGAGGAAGGGATGAGGAGAGGAAAATGGAGGATACAAAAGCGAGGTGAGACGGAGCATGAACACGTGGCGAGCAAAGAGAGGTGGGAGTGATCGGCCTGACAAGCTAAGTTGTACCACGACAAGACTGGACTGGAGTAAGACCAAAGTGAATGGAGTATGAATAAAAAGAGCGGCGATAGGAGCGCTGACGTGAGCAGTGAATCGTGAGTCGGAGGAGTGCCGAGGGTGGTGAGCATCCATCATACTCTTCGAGGAGATGAGGCCAAGGAGAAGTGCAATGGTTTGTTCCAGGCTCTGCGCACGGCCGCTGCTTGCAGCTGGCTGGCGACCGGCGGCAGCCCTGGGCGCACAGGCTGAGCGCGATTGGAGGGGGGGGGGGGGGGGGGGGCGGGGGGGGGAGGGGGTGGGGAAAGGGCGGGGTGGGGGAAGGGGAGGGAAGGGGCGAACGGAAGGAGAATGGGATGTGAAGGGAAGGGGAGAAAGCGGATGGCATCAGCGGGTGTTACTCTGTCAAGCGAACGGTACTGGGCACCGGTGGTGCAAAAGTGGAGGAAGGGGGACGAAGAAAGGGAAAAGGGGGGAAGAGTTCAAAACGGGGAAAGTGGGAAGAGGGGAAAACCTGCCAGTCTCAACAATACTACAGAATTAATATACGGTGACAGTGACAGACAGTGCCAAGTCACCATAAAAAAAACATACGGTGTAGTCTAATGGATGGTTATGCGATCGCTCTAACAGGGTAAACACGAAATTCAAAGATGGCATTTTCAGGTGAAAACGACCGATGCCATGTATCGAACCCGCGTCTCAGCGCTGGCAGTCTTAACAAAAAATCTTCAATATTCACGGACACGAATTGCCAGCATCAGGTATCAAACCCACATCTCCTCTAAATCTCGGAGTCAGGTATGGAGATATTGGTAAAGTTACTTATGAGTTACATTACTTACTCGCCTCAAGCTGTCTGCTCAGACCCAAAAGTTCCGTATTCTTAGCTTTAGAATAGGCTGGGGTCGAGAACCCTTGGTGCCAGGTTTGAGACGGAAACATTTTGGAATGAGATAGCAGATCCAAGAGCATTAGAGCATACCTAAGAGCATGAGAGCAGCCATTGCAGCGAGCACGAGACCCGATCTCCGCGTCACAGCCACGCCGTGCGAAGCCATGATTCCCCTCGCGCCTGATGCGTACGCAGTCAACAGGTGGGGCGAGAAGGGCTAGAAGCATCAGCGGCAGCACTGCTGCCAGAGTGCTATGCGCAGAAGAGGAGTACGATGTGACACTGACCGTCCAATACTCCGTCTCAGGTTATCTTGTAGGGGCCCCCTCCATTTTGAGACGTGTTCCTCCTAAACTCGGATCGACGGCGGATCCCCTCTCCCGCCTTCCCTCCCATCTCTCCCCCACCCCCCACCTCCTGCACCCCCTGTAGGAGAGAGGGCGGGAAGGGAGATCGGTGCGACACATCCCCCCACTCCAGTCTCCTTGTCGGGTAGCGTGTGAAATCGCCGCACCGCAGCTGTGCTTCATCCTCAGCCACCCGAACCGTCCTGTGTGGGACGGTTGCACACGGCGGGACCACAATCGCAAACACTGAACGTTGTGGTTGTTGGGAAATCAAAGCATTCACCGTCCTGAATGCACACCCTGAAGCTCGCGCATCCATCCTATTCGCTCACACACCCGACAGGCCCACGCGCAACGCACTGTTACGACCCTGACAACTGTGCTTTGTGAACTGGGGTTTAGCGATTGCTGGAACGAGTCAACCACTGTTCTCCCGATACAGTTAGGCGATGGTAACCCGGATACCACATAGCCCATTTTGCCCCAAGTTGCTCGAGTGAGACCAATTTTTCCAGAAAGTCGGACGTAAGAAGACATGTGTAGACTTTCAAGCACAGTAGACCTGGCGGCGCGGAAGTCCCAAAATATGTTCCCGTTTTCGTGAAGTTCACGTTTCCGTGAAGTACGTTTTCGTGAAGTTTACGATGTCGTTTGCCTTTGAAACAAAGCATTCAACTGGGAATACTGTAGACTATCAAGCACAGTACTACCCGAGGCGCCAGTGCGTGAGACCTGAGCGTGGCCGCAAAGTCTTCTCCCGCAAGTGTGTACGGCCGAAGACTATACTTCCGGAGTGGATGTGACTCCAGACAAAAGAGCCGGCGGATAATATTCGCGGCCAATACAGTAAGGGGCGATATCCGCCACATGACGACACGTCAGTCAGGGTAAGGCGGAAGGCTACCGCAGACTCGCGGAGGGGCAGAGCGCAGCCGTGGGCGTGACATGCCAGATCTAACAACGGTAGGGGCGTGGTGGTGGTGTGATGCGCGTGTATTTTTTGAGGAGTCATGGAGCGTAGGTTGGTGGTCGCTTGAGGGTAGTGGGCAGAATGTTTCGTTACGGTCAAGTAACGTTTTTAAGTTTTCGCAGCTGAATCGTGACCAGCCAGTGCTCGAGTTCTCAGTAACCCGAACACTGATTCCTGAGTGGCCAATCCGAACCACAAGGTCCATAAGAACTTAGGGCGCGTCTCCTTCGGCACAGATGGTGAAGTTCATGTATTTTGTTCGAATTCTAGCAAATGAACATTAGTCGACCTGTAGTCGACTATCTCAGCAATTGATTGTCGGATCGCTTGTTCACTTTCTTGAAGGAAATTGGCCCCGCCCTCGCTTGGGCGAAGCCGACTTCGTGTTCGATTGTGCGAGAGGTTCTGTCGACCATTTGCAGAGGGTGACGTCGACTTTGTGGTCGTGTGCACGAAAGGTGCAGCCGACCGTCCGTAGAGGTCGACGCCAGCCTGGGCGTGCAGGTGGACGAAGGTGGTCGTTGACATGTGCGGAACTACTGTAAGACCGTCGACGAGGGTGGTCGACGAAGTAGTTCGATGACAAGGGTGGGCATCGATGGTGATCAACGACGGAGGTCGTCGACCCGCGACGACGAAGGTCGTCAACCTATGATGACGAAGGTCATCGACCTGCACGGTTGCTGGGGACCTTACCCGGTCGATGGCGTTACCTGTTCGACGAGGTTCAGCAGAGGCTCGCGAACATCGTCGATGTTGCTGTCACGAAGTCAACCGACGTAGTAGCATGTGGTCGACGCGGCTAGTCAGGTGCAACCGTCTATATGTGGCCGACCTGGCACCTGCGCAATGTGCGCGACAGTGCACGTCGTGCGTAACTGTCTACAAGCACCTGCGGATGCAACGTTGGCACTCTAACGTGCTTCAGGGTTGATTTTCATGTGCAGGCTTAATGGAAGTCACGAGAACATCCGGTGCAAGGGGTGTTATCAAGTCCCAGTACCTATCAAGCGCATGCAAGGCAATTTTATGAGTGGCGGCCAGGCCCCGCGAGTGGTAAGTCACTGACGTGGGCTAACATATGACTAACCAAGGTCTAACATTATGTCATTTTGCAGGCGTTAAGACTGAGCATTTTTTTCTCCCTGTGTGAATGCCTATAAGACGTGAAACTATGTAGAAGTTTTTTGTTTTAGCTGTGTTCGTTTTTCGTATAGGTAGCGAAATGTGTATGCTAGTATGTATACAAATGTGCGAAGTATTATATATTGTGTACAGACCTTAAACCTCATACCACAAGAAATAATCGCTGAAACGAATGCTCCGCTTGTACTGTTCAGGCAAATCGGCCGCTTGTAGAAATCATTTTCCGCACACGTCTAGGTCATGTCTGATTGGCACACATGTGTCAAACTGTAATCATGTTTGTGTTGTGTAGGCTGTAGTGGGGTAGCCCATATAGGGTAAAACCCAGTTTAGGGTTAGCACTTGTACCCACATTCTGCTCGTTAGTTTCTAACATGGTTTCAGAGCAGTAGGAACATAGGACCGTTTTTTTTCCGGACCCACCATTACCTAGTGATCGACTGCGGTTAGCGCATTGCCCCACACCGTGCCCTGCGCTACGTCGTTAGCGCGCGCTCTGTGTGAGAATAAGCGAACAGGAATGAATGAACTAGCAGTGAAATGAGTACAAGTAGGAAACCCTAGAATTGTGTACCCCCTATAGGCTAACCCACTGTAGCCTACACAAGCATAACATATATAATGTTTGACACACCCCCATAGGCAAAGTGGGGGAGAACAAGGGGTCACAAGACCAGTCAAGCAAAGCAAAGCAAGCTCAGGGTGGATCACAAAGTCACCACACAGTCCGAGCACAAGAGCAGGGCCAGAGGCCAGTTCACATGCAGGAGTACAGACATATATATAAAACTAGACAAGCAAGAGCAGGTATATATATATGTCACAGTACAAGTGAAGTCAAGAGGAGAGCAAGTGAGGCAAGACAGGCACAAGACCCAGCTGGGTGCAAAAGCGCTGATGGTCACAAGGCGCGAGTGCCTTGGTGAAGACATCAGAAGTGTTGGCCTCAGAGGCCACGTACGCAAGTCGCAACTGACCACGCTGCTGCAGCTCACGAGCAAGGAAGTAGCGGAGAGCAATGTGCTTCGTTCTGTGCTCCAAGCGCTGCTCTCGACACAAGGCCAGCATGGCCTTGTTGTCTACGTACAGCACTGGAGGAGAACGAGGCGGCTCTCCAAGGTCAGTCAGCAGGTAGGTGAGCCAGCGAAGCTCCTGTGCAGCCATGGCCCCGGCGTAGATCTCAGCCTCACAACTGGAGCCGAGAACTGAAGACGAGCGAGTAGACCGCCACGAGACAGAGCCGGAACCAAGGCTGAAGGTGTAACCCTGTGACGACCGCTGCGTAGCTTGGTCGTCAGCCCAAGAAGCGTCCGCGTGGCCGGTAAGGACCACTGGACTCCGCCCTCCAAGCACAAGCCCCATGCCCGACGTACTGCACAGGTAGCGCAATACCCTCTTCGCTGCAGCCATGTGCTCTGGTCTGTGTCTCCCAGGAGCAACATAGCGTGCAAGAATGCTCAGAGGATATGCAAGGTCAGGTCGTGTGCAGGTCATCAGGTACATGAGGCAGCCAACAAGCTCTGCATACGGACCACTCGACTCTACGGACTCATCCGAAGGCAGAGCAGAGAGTGAGTGGCGAGTAGGCAGAGGA